TGTTGTCCTGACCCGTTTTGCAATTATTAGAATTTGGCTGTTTCGATTAGGTTTGTTCAAATGAGCCAGCGTACTCCTGAATAGTGTGAATGACCAGAGCTGCTTCCTAGTTTGTCTAGTCTTACTTATATGTCGAAGTTTCAGTCGCCAGAGCGCCGATGTTGCTTCACGTCTCCAATTTGGAGTGTTCACAGACAACTTTGGAGGAACTGGGACGCAAACCGCGTTGTCGATACAGATACCGGTGTTTTCAGGCGGTGAAGGAGACGTGGTGTCGGTAAGAACTCGAATCACGTCGTGACCACAGCAATCCAGCAGTACCTTAATTGGTGAAAAGTTTCAGAGTCGTAAATCATCAAGATCTGAACGTCGAAGTGCATCGATAACGTCTTCTGCTTCAGCAAGTTCCTCACGTAGCGGTATGGCTGGCCAGACAGATGAAGTCAAATTTGACGTTGACGATAAGGTGGTTTCTTGAAGATTTGGCTGAAGGCATTTTTTATTGAAATTACCAACTGTTCCTGAAAGTTTCTTCCGAAGGAATGCTAAAGTGTTGAAGTTTAGATTGTGGTTGGATGGCCTCTCAGTGATGTGAGAATGCTTCCACCTTCTACTTCGACCCTTCTCGTGCCCAAGACAGAATCAGAAGTCTTGAAAACGGTAAGGTGCCTTTTCACGGAATCTTATTGGGTCCTGGTAGAGGCGAATCTACATTTCGTTCTTTCAGGCACATTGTAAGACTGATCAGAGCTCAAGAATCGTTTCTTGGGATAACGTGCTTAATGGGAGCTACGATAAGGTTGGTGCAAATCGGATCCGTTATGGTTGTTTTATCTTCGGACCAGAAAATCCCATTTGGATACACCATGCAATAGTTTTCCAGAATCGAGGAGAAATTGGAAAGGGTGCGGAGAGATTAGCGCATGCGTTGGTAGAGTATTGGTCCCGTGAGGAATAAATTGCGTGGCGCTCATCTCCTTGGGGGACATCCAAGTGAGTGAGCCAATTACTGTGTTTGGGACTAAGCCATTGAGAGGGGAACGGATCTTGAGGAAGCATATTGAAACTGTGTTCTCCCTGGCGTTTTTCCCTTTTCTGGGCTTAGTCCTGGTTTCACCTACCATTGGCTGTTTTGAATGTCCCCCCTCCTACCCAAAGTTATGAGCGAAGATTGCCTTATCCCTTTTCCCTGAAAATGTAGTCTTTGTGGCTCGTGCAGAATGTCATACACCTTTTACCCTATAGGAGTAATAGACATTCGGCTTAGATTGAATCAATATCTTCCAAGACGCGCCACGCATTTGGCTTCCATTCAGAATCATAATGACCTCTGAATGTGTGCGCTCTGCAACTTGCTTGTGGTCTGTGCATTTTGATTGTGGTGACCTACTCTCTCCCATTCGTTTGAGCCCTCTCAGTAAATCGAATCTGAAGTAGGGGAGGATAGGCTTGCGTTTTTGTGTACTCGATTCCGAGAATTGATTACCTGTCCACACTTTCTTCATTCCTCATTCTCTCACGCGATTGATGTTCTATGATACCCCGTTATCAGCCGTTAATCTAACGGTGGAAGAAATTACGGTAGTAACCTGATCCTTCTGTCCTCGCGGTCAGTGAATGTAGGAGAAAGGCGAAACGAGGCGCTGATAAATTGTAATTTTACATTCCAGAGAACGTCAGAAACGTTGAAGGCTTCAGAAGAACGCATTCACACATGGGATGTGTGCTACTGTCATTTCAGCGAGGAAGCTTTGCAAGGTTAGTTCTGTCATTTCTTCATCTACACTTTATGAGCTTGTACAAGTGAAAACGCGCTTTCTTGTTTATAAAATTACGTTTACATGTTGCGAGACATTTCATGAAAGTATTTTTATAGTTGCAAAGAATCTCGGTTTGACGCAGCCGTTAGATGAGAGATCTAACTTTTCGTTAGTCTCATCACCACCAAAGCGATCGCGCAAGGAAGAAAAACCACCTGCATCACCTGCACTAACGTTGACTCCCAAGGTGAGGTTTGCGGCTTTGGCATGAGTCGAAGTGAAAACTAAAGGCGTGAGTAGGCTTGTGGCGAATATATGGCATTGAGTCCGCCTTTTTTCTGACTGCACTTATGTGTCGCACTAAAAGAGCATCCAGTTTCGTGGAGGCTACCTCACAGCAATGGTGTGGATGCGCTCCTGGGGCACATCTTAAGGAAGGCGAATGGTAAGTACGTACGCTAGGAAAATTCTTATGAAAACGACCAAAAATAGATTTTCCTTGGTTCATCCCACTGACGGCTCAATAACTGTATTATTCGCATGCCTAGAATGAATTCCGTTTCCTTGTTATTAATGAAATGAAAAAAAAAAACTGAATTTGGAAATTATCCAACTAGATAAGATTAAAACCTAGGCCAAAAATAAAAAAGGATAAAAAATAGTAAAAGATTCCACAAACATCAAAAAGAAAAAAATGATGGAAAAAGTTACAGGCGTTTTTTTTTTTTTTTTTTTTTTTTTTTTTTTGTTTTTTTTTTTATTGAAGGGTCGGATGATGTCCACATGGAATACGTTGCAAGAGCATCGGCATTCGGCTATTTTCCTTCATCCAGTAACGGATAGAGATGCGCCAGGCTATAGCCGTATTGTCTTTTGGTACATCTTTGCTGTCTAAGTTGAATCACACGTCAATTCTATTTCTACATACTCCTCACATTTTTAGCGCCATGTATGAATTTGAGTCCACGTTGAAGCGTGAATCGATGGTCCCCCACCGCCCAGTTGGCTAATCGCCCACAACCCAACGGTTCTGTTGAAAAAGTGAGTTACATATTGAGATGCATTGATATGTGAGAGGGGGGGGGGGGGTTGGTTACTGGGAAGATCTTGCACGTTCAAGCGGTTTGACACTGCTGACATTTTTGGTTCCGGAAAACAACCGCAGAAACGGCTTCAGGACTCACACATCCTGGCTCTGATCTCTTTTTCTTGGAATTTTCGCGACTTCCCGCACCACCATCACCGTCAGTCTTAGTTGGTCCCCAGCAAAACACCCTATCACCATCACCTATCATGGCTGTTTCTACAGTATGTGATTCTTCGATGGTTCAGTCGACACAGATCATCTCCGCCCGCTTTCTCCTCCGAATTGGCCTGGTCCGCCTAGCGAGAGGGGTGTGTCGCAAGATGTTTAAGGTAACGGCCAGTGATCTAGTTCTCTCTATTTTGCACTTCCTTCATGAATTTCCCGTCAGAACAGGGACGACTCCCTCTTACGCAACCGCAACCACGACTCTAACACCTTCCACAATTACCACCCCGTTTAACATTTTGACCTTCGTGAACTCCAAGTACGGCCGGGGCCAACCGTCCGTTGTTCCAGTTCCAGAAATTGGACGATCTTCCCCTCTCAGAGGGTCTCGATACGCTCTCCCACCACAACCATCAGCTTTAGAGGGGTCCTCCAGTACGACCCCCGCCAACAGGGCTGTTTCTATAGTATTTGATTCTGACTCTGGACCAGTCAACACGCTCTAACCCCACCCACTTTCCCACAACATGGCCATCGGGCGACGTGGAGGGGGACGGTTTGCCAAACGGCGAATGTGCTGATTCCCCTATTTCATGGTTTTGGATTTCCGCCAAAATTTTCAAAAACACTGTCAAACCCACCCCTCTTATCCCGCAACCGCGACCCCAGAAATACTATCCTTTTCAACCTTTCTCTTTCATTACACCGAATACGCCCCTACCCCCTACCCCGTACCCTACGTTGGAACTTCGCGAAGCACAATTGACCCTGAATATGCCCCCCCCTTTCGGAATCGCAGATACGTCTCCCCATGGCACTTATACCAATACATAGACAACTGACCTATTTTCCATTACTGCACTTCCGCTATCGCTTGCTTTTAATCTTTCCTTTTTTCTTGTAAGTAAGTATTCTGATATGATTTTCAGAGGTGGTGGTGGATGGAGGTGATACTTGTGCGGCAGTCTGATGACTTTCCCTTTATGAAGCCTTGATTTCTTTAATAAATTGTAGCCATCCATGTGGCGAATAAAGTCTAACAATCCATGGGGCAAAATGCGATTCAAATTGTTGCAGGGTATTTATGATGTTTACAAATGCAATCATGTTCAACAGTACTGGTCATGATGTGAATTCCTATGCAAAGGAGATGTGCAAGGCTACGATAGGAGAATGCACTTTGACGGTATGGGGAAGTTTATATTCATTAAGATTCAAAGAGCGAGGATGTACACTTTTAGAGTGCTATACATATTTCCATTTTTTTGCGATTGAATACTATATTATTAATGTTGCTTAAGATTGATCCAAGAATGGATGCTTTCCGTGGGCACCATCGGAGGAGCAGACAGCTGGATGATGTAAGATTTGTTTCTCCCACTAACCAGAGTCAACCGTCTGTTCGCAGGTCGCGTCCCCATTCGAAGGGAGGGGGTGCCTTCAAGCGTTTAAACGAGGTATCTCAGCGGGAACGGAGGTGCGTTGAAGTTTGTTATAGGGGGTTGTGTATCGACGGTGTTTGGAGAATTGGAGTTGTGGGCGAAAGTAAAGAATAGGCTCTAATGGATTTTGCCGCTTCATGATACCACTTTACCCCAGCTCGACGGTCGTTTTGGAGGGAAAAGTGGGCGGAGTTGGGCTGGTCTCGACCGGTCTCAGAATCAGGTACTATAGAATCGTCCATGATGGTGAGGGTGGTGGTCGGAGAAAGGAGAAGGGTGAAGGAGGATCGTGTATTGAGGGAGCCTTTCAAGATTGATAGTAGTGGTAGGGGGTCGCAGAATATTTGAAAAAGTGCGAACGTGACGGTTGACCCTGCCACTAACTCTTATGTTAGTAATATGTATAAGTTTTTATTTGTAGCCGAGAAGAAGGTCGAGCTTAACGCCTACAGGACAACCTCGAGGTCCATCGAGGAAGAGACAACAATGAGAGGATATATTTTAGTGAAAATTTGCAAGTTATCTTTTCTGCTGTCAGTTGATTTCAGGATTATTTGCTTCACGTCATTGCTTTGTCGTGTCGAAGTTGTAATTTTATTGAGATGGCAGTCTTTTTTGTATGTAGTGATTGTAATTATCTTTCGTCATAAAATGTCGGCTTTGCCTGTTCTAACTGATGTGAAAATGGAAGTTGAATGAGAAATGTGTTTTCAAAGACCAGCGTTTCTTCTTTGTCTCTTCGTCTCTGTCGTCTGCAAACTCCAAAATGAAGTAGGGATGGCAAGTGTTGGCTCAGCAAAACCATATGGGCGGAATCTTGATTTCCATCGTTTTTACATTTCTCGCAATCAGTTTCGCTAGTTTCTTTTCCTCTTTCCATTAGTTTCTACTTTTCCTTGGTATGTCGATCGTTTCGTCCACTTTGCGGATTCTCTTGTGTGTGTTTTTTTTTTTCAATTGTTCTAATCTCTCATTCCATGGCTATCAAGCTATGCGCTTGTCTTTTACACCGCTTGGCTTTTTTTTACGCTCGCCTACACCTATTTTATCCGGAAGCTTGTACTTTTAACTACACTTAAAGGCAAGCTTGGGGATAAAATAGGTGAAAAGTTCACCAATGAGGCTAGAGGTGGGGAGTGGTCTGGAAAAGAGTAAAAAAACGAGAAACCCCTGTTACTCTCCGAGTGAGGACCCCCTCTATTTCAGTCGAATTCCACCTTGGGCTAAAGAAGGGTCGTGTTTTCACGAGTTTATCTCCAGTTGCTCCAGTGCCAGTGACATTGAATCGCAATGGAACCGCTGCCGCAACTGCGCCCGCGCTTTTCAAGCAGCGTCCACGTGGCAACCGACAGCGGAAGGCGGGGCTTGCGGACGAAGGATGGATTGCGGGTCTAACAGCTTCCAGCGCCTTTGCGCGTTTTCAAGCCGCAAAAGGGCGGCGTTCGTACGCCTGCCTACCGTGAGCGGGTATAGAACAGGTAGGCGCGCCTGATCCCGGGGCGTGCCTTTAAAAATGAGCAAGATCTCCAAACTACCCTCTTTCAAACCGCCTATTCCGATTCTCGAGTCAAGAAGTTCTGTGGATTTTTAGCAATGCATCCCTGTCTATCGCAGCATCGAGGAATTGGGTCATGGGTTCTAAACTCGAAAACTCAATAATTGAAGTCAGCATAGTTGGGTTTAGAAGTTTAATGCGACGGCTTGACTGCCCTATGG